TAAAAGGGAATATGTGATTATGTTTAGTTGTGATTTAGCTGTCTACTATGATTAAGAATATACCACCACCACCACCCCCTCACAGCAGCATAACCAAAATGTAGGTTGAGGACTTCTTATGGAGGAGTGTATTATTAACCTCTTTTACATTTTAAATTCTGCAAATTTATCTTTAATATTTAAATAAATAAGCATAACAATATATAATTATAAAGGGATGGTATAGATAATTAATTCACTAGGCTGCTGCTGAGAGGTTGTATGATCAGGTCCTCCCTATGGAGCACATTTTATGCTGACATGCTTGAGGTCTCTGTGAGTTGGAATCAACTCCAGAGCAACATTTGTTTTGTTCTGTAATTGGGAAGGGGATGTAATGCTGCAGCTGTCCACTTCCAGGAAATCCCTATATATTGTGCAAAAACATCCATAAAACAGCCTAGTTAAGTATTCAGTCTCTTCTAAGGTCCAGCTGGAATCCAAAAGCTGTTTCTCAAAAAGAGTAGTTATTTGTAGAGGATGATAGGGCTTTACTCCAAAATTCCAAGGGTTTGCTCCATGATTCACCTAAAAGGGATGCCAAAGTCTCTAAACAGCATTCCTATCTGCCACTAACACTTCAAGCACTGTTGGATCTACCACATCATATGGTCCAAGTGTGAGAGCAGCTTGCATAGCTGCCTGGGTCTGTGAGAGCCTTCTCTTGTTCTGAGCTCCATTCAAAACTAGCAGTTTTGGGGGTCTCTTGGTAAGTGGACCAGAGTAGCACACCCAAATGAGGAATATGCTTCCTCTAAAATCTGAAGTAACCATTCATTTGTCAGTTCACTGTACTGTTATGGCTTGTGTGTTACTGTGAGTCTGGAAGTTATGCCACCAGTATTTCAAGTACCAGCAGGGTCTCCCATGGTGGACAGGTTTTGACAGAGCTTCCAGACTAAAATAGACTGGGAAGAAGACAGGAACATCTACTTCTAGAAAAATTGGCCACTGAAAACTGTATCAATAGCAATGAAAGATTGTCTGATATATTACTGGAAAACTATGAATAGCCTTGAAATATAGAAAGATGAGCCCCTCAGGTTGGAAGCCACTCAAAATACAACTGGAAAAGAGCTAACTACTCAAAGCAGTGTCAACCTCAATGATGCAGATGGAGTAAAGCTTTCCGGAGCTTCATTTTCTGATATGGCATGCGTCAAAATGAAAAGAAACAGCTGCAAACATTTGTGAATAATCGGAACATGGAATGTGCCGAGTACAAACCTAGGAAAATTGAAAGTTGTCAAAAATTAAGTGGAACACATAATAATGGACATCCTAGGCATTAGTAAGCTGAGAATGACTGATATGTGTCATTTTCAATTGGACAATTATATGCTGAGAATGACAAATTAAAGCAAAATGGCCTCACATTCATCCTCAAAAAGAATATTTCAAGATCTATCCTGGAATACAATACTGTCAATGATGGGACAATATCCATACACCTACAAGGAAGACCAGTTAATACTACTATTATTAAAATTTACACACCAACCACTAAAGCCAAAGATGAAGAAATTGAAGATTTTTACCAATTTCTGCAGTCTGAAATTGACCAAATATACAGCAAGATGTGGTAGTTCAAACCCACCAGCCACTCCTCAGAAGGAAGGTTGGGCAATCTACTTCTGTAGTGATATCACATCAGAAACCCAAGGAGGGGTCACTATGAGTCAGGTCTGACTCAAAGGCACATAACAACAACAACAACAGAATGCAAAACTTGGAAACAAAGAAGAATCATAAGTAGTTGGAAAATATGGCTTTGGTGAAAGAAATGACACTGGAGATCTCATGATAGAATTTTGCAAGACCAATGACTTATTCATTGCAAATACCTTTTATCAACAGCATAAAGGGCTAATACACATTTGGACCACACCAGCTGCAATACACAGGAATCAGATCAACTACATCTGTGGAAAAAGGCAATGGATAAGCTCAATAACATCAGTCAAACCAAGGCCAGGTGCTGATTGTGGAAAAGACTATCAACAGCTCATATGCAAGTTCAAGTTGAAGCTCAAGAAAATTAAAACAAGCCCATGAGAGCCAAAATATGACCTTGATCATATCTCACCTCTTCAGAAACCATCTGAAGAATAGATTTGACAGGTTGAACACCAGTGACCGAAGACCAGATGAGTTGTGGCATAACATCAAGAGCATCATCCATGAAGAAAGCAAAACGTTATTAGAAAGACAGGAAAGGAAGAAGAGGCCAAATCCAATGTCAGAAGAGGCTCTGAAACTTGCTCTTGAACTGGGAATACCTAAAGCAAGTAGAAGAAAAACTGAAAGAAAAATCTGAACAGAAGATTTTAAAGGGCAGCTCAAAAAGACAAAATATTATAATGAAGTATGCAAAGATCTGGATTAGAAAACCAAAAGGGAAGAACATGTTCAGCATTTCTCAAACTGAAAGGGCTGAATAAAAAATTCAAGCTTTGAATTGCAATACTGAAGTATTCTATGGGAAAATATTGAATGATACAGGAAGCATCAAAAAAAAGATGGAAGGAGTATACAGAGTCATTGTACCAAAAAGAATTGGTTGATGTTCAACCATTTCAGGAGGTAGCATATGGTCAAGAACTAATGGTACTAAAAGAAGAAATCTGAACTGCACTGAAGGAATTGGCAAAAAACACTCCAGGAATTGACGGAATACCCACTGAGATGTTTTAACAAACTGATCAGTGCTGGAGGCATTTTCTCATTTATGCCAAGAACTTTGGAAGACAGCTACCTGGCCAACTGACTGGAAAATATCCATTTTTGTGTCCATTCCAAAGAAAGGTGATCCAACAGAATGTGGAAATTATCAAACAATATCATTAATATTGCATACAAGCAAAATTTTACTGAAGATAATTCAAAAATGGTTGTAGCAGTACATCAATAGGCAACTGCTGGAAATTCGAGCCAGATTCAGAAGAGGATGTGGAACAAGGGATATCACTGGTGATATCAGACAGATCTTGGCTGAAAGCAGAGAATACAAGAAAGATATTTCCCCATGCAAAGGCATTTGACCCTGCAAAGGCATTTGACTTTGTGGATCATAACAAATTATGGGAAACATTGCAAAGAATGGGAATTCTAGAACACTTAATTGTGCTCATGAGGAAGCTGTACATAGACCAAGAGGCAGTCGTTTGAACCGAACAAGGGGATACTACATGGTATAAAATCAGGAAAGTTGTATGTCAGGGTTGTATCCTTTTACAACATTTACTCAATTTTTATGTTTAGCAAATAATCTGAGAAGCTGGACAATATGAAGAAGAATGCAGTATCAGAATGGAGCAGGATTCATTAACAGCCCGTGATATGCAAATGACTCAGCCTTGTTTGCTGAAAGCAAGAAAGATTTGATGGACTTACTGATGAAGATCAAAGATTACAGCCTTATATATGGATTATAAACCAAACCAAGCCCACTGGCATTGAGTCGGTTCCGACTCATCACAACCCTATAGGACAGAGTAGAACTGCCATCTAGAGTTTTCAAGGCTGTAAATCTTCACAGAAACAACCTGCCTCATCTTTCTTCCACAGAGTGGCTGATGGGTTCGAACTGCTCACCTTTTGGTTAGCAACTGGATACTTTAACCACTGTGCTACCACAACTCCTTAGTTTGGATTATACCTCAACATAAAGAAAACAAAAATCTCACAACTGGACCAATAAGCAACATTATGATAAATGGAGAAAAGATTGAAGTTGTCAAGGATTTTATTTTACTTGGATCTACAATCAACACCCATTGAAGCATCAGTCAAGAAATCAAAAACCTGTTTCACTGGGCAAATCTGCTGCAAAAACACAAAAGTGTTAAAAGGCAAAGATGTCACTTTGAGGACTAAGGTGTGCCTGACCCAAGCATGGTATTTTCAGTCCCCTCATATCCATGCGAAAGCTGAACAATGAATAAGGAAGACAGAAGAGTTGATGCATTTTAATTATGGTATTGGCAAAGGATATTAAATATACCATCGACTGCTAGAAGAACAAACAAATCTGTCTTGGAAGAAGTGCAGCCAGCATGCTCCTTAGAAGCAAGGATGGTAAGACTTCATCTCAAGTCCTTTGGACATGTTATCAAGAGAGACCCATCCCTGGAGGAAGACATCATGCTTCATAAAGTAAAGGGTCAGTGAAAAAGAGAAAGACCCTCAATAAGATGATGGACTGACACAGTGGCTGCAAAAATGGACTCAAATATTGTGAGGATGGCACAGGACCAGGTAGTGTTTTATACATAAGGTGACTATAAGTCATACCTGAGTCAATGGCACATAACAAAAAAAAACCATGTAAATATACATACACATACATCCATACATATGTATGAAGAAAGAAAGGTAGCCATGGCAATAACAAAGACAAAATGAATTCAGTAACAGATACTTTGACTCCAATCAATTGTATGCAAAGGCAGCATCTAGTATATGGAGATACAACAGTGCACAAGGGTTATGTCATTTGTGCCCCAGAAATTAGAATGAAAAAGAGAATGGGGACACAAAGAAAACGGAGTTAACTGAAGTGTGATTTTAGGGATATGTTAGATCTAACACAGTGCCCAGACTTAGTAAGCAAGGCTTAAATATTTGTGGAGTGAGCCTGAGTAATCTAACAATTCAGGTCTTTATTTGCCCAATTGTTTCTAAGCTTTTCTAAACCAATATCCCTGCTTTAATGTAATCACCACAAAAAAAGAAAAACTTGTTTTTTAATATTTTGCTACATGGTCTATTTCTAGATAAAGAATTGAATATAAAGACACTTTTTATGACTGATACTTCTAGATATAGTCTCTGAGCAAGAGAGGTAACATTTTGCTTTAAGTCAAGCTTCCCCTTCTAGGCCCCCTTCTCTGCAGACACAACCCTGCCTCTTCCTGTTTGGGCTGTGACTCTTGCCCAGGTGTTCACAGCATAGGGATGCCTCATGGAGAGTTCTGAGGTTTCTGTAGGATTCCTGCAGTCGCCCATCTCACTGAGATATTTCTCAGAGCACAGAAATATACTGTTGAATCCTCAAGCTGTAAGGCTGTGATGGTGAGGCTGATGACTTTGGCTGCTTGCTGGAGATTCAGAGAATACCGACCCGCTGTAGCATTCTGCTTATTGTGAAACTCCTGATGAATAAGAAAAGTCATTTCCCTACTTGGTACTTGCTTGTACCAGACTACATAAAAACTTGAAATACTAGCTTCATATGCACAATCCAAGGTTAGTGATTTCTTCTCCAGTTTAGAAATTCCAGATTGGGCTTGAGTTACCTTCTGAGTCATGCTGGATCCTGCAAGAAAAAAAAGAGAGAGACAGAGAGAGAGAGAATTAAATTGATTCTCTTGGTGGCACTCATGGGGTTGTAAGGAACTAATGCAGGACTGAGGGCACTGATCCCCTTGCCCATTACTACCCTCTCCTAAAAGCTATTAGACAATAACAAAATGCCTTTCACGACAAAGTTGGTAGTGAGAGAACCTGAGTTCTTGACAATGGCCATCCATACCAAGGCAGATGGAGGCTATGATTGCCCTCAGTAGACTGGAGAACAGCATGTTGGCAGTTCCCCCTGAGTGAAACGTGCCGTGTTCTGTCTCACAGTCATGTCTCAATGCCTGGTCTGTGTCTGAAAGGGCACAGACACAACTACTGAGCTTTAAGATGCTTCTGTACCAGAAAAGGAAATGCAGTTTTCTGATATCAGCTTGTCTGTGTCTCACTGTGGCTTCTTGACATGGTGAGAGATTTTTGGTGGTGCTATGGTTATTGCATTAGGCTTCTAAACAAAAGGTCGGTGGTATGAACCCACCAGCCACTCTGCGGGAGAAAGATGGGGCAGTCTGCATCTGCAAAGATTTATAGCCTTGGAAACCCTCTGTGGCAGTACCACTCTGTCCTGTAGGGTTGCTATGAGTCAGAATTGACTCAATGGCAGTGGTTTTTCCTGTTTCTTTTCTTTTTTGTCTCCTTGTACTTTAATTGGGTAACAATTATATCTAGACACATGCTGTCATTGTGGATAGGTGCTATCAAGTTGGTTCTGACTAACAGCAACCCCATGGACAACAGAACAAAACACTGCCTAGTCCTGTGCCATCTTCACAACTGTTGCCATGCTTGAGCCCATCTCTACAGCCACTCTGTCAATCCATGTCTTTGAGGTTCTTCCCCTTGTTTTGCTGACCTTCTACTGACAAGCATGATTTCCTTCTCCAGAAACTGGTCTCTTCTGGCAACATGACCTAAATACAAGAGATGAAGTTTGGCCATTCTCACTTCTAAGGAGCATTCCAGCTATACTTCTTCTAAGACAGATCTGTTCATTCTTCTAGCAGTACATGATACATTCAATATTCTGCACCAACAAAATTCAAATGCATCAGTTCTTCTGCAATCTTTCTTATTCATTGCCCAGCTCTCACAAGCCCATGAGTCTATTAGAAATAATATGGCTTGGGTCAGGCACACCTTAGTCTTCAAGTGACGTCTTTGATTTTTAACAATTTGAAGAGGTCTTTTGCAATAGATTTGTCCAATGCAATAAGTCATCTGATTTCTTGACTGCTGCTTCCATGGGCATTTATTATGGATCCAAGTCAAATGAAAGCCTTGGCTCCATTTGTCAACATACTGTTTATTCACCCAGTTGTGAGGATTTTTGTTCCTTTATGTACTGAAGGCTGTAGTCTTTGATCTACATCAATAAGTGCCTCAAGTCTTCTTGAGTTTCAACAAGCAAGATTGTGTCAGCTGCATATCTCTGTTTCTTCTTCATACAGTCTAGCTTCTTGGATTATTTACTCAGCATACAGATTGAATAAGTATGGTAAAAGGACACAACCCTGACACACACATTTCCTGATTTTAAACCATAGAGTATCCCCTTGTTCTGCTTGAACAATTGCCTCTTGGTCTATGTACAGCTTCCTCGTGAGCATAATTACATGTTCTGGAATTTCCATTCTTTGCAATGTTATCCATAACTTGTTATAATCTACACAGTTAAATGTATTTGCCTAGTCAATAAAACACATGACGTAAATTAAATTGAAGGCCATTGATGATGCAACCTCACTGCCACCAAGTCATTTCTGACTCATAGCAATTCCCATTGGGTTTCCAAGGCTGTAAATCTTTATGGAGGTATATCTCCCTATCTTTCTTCTGCAGAGCAGCTGGTGGGTTTAAATCATGGAACATCTAGTTAAGCAGTCAAGTCCCTTATCCACTATGCCAACATAAAGAAAACTAAAATTCTCACAACTGGACCAATAAATAGCATCACAATAAATGGAGAAAAGATTGAAGTTGTCAAAGATATCATATTACTTGGTTCCACAATCAACACCAATAGAAATAGCAGTCAAGACATCAGACAACATATTGCACTGGACAAATCTGTTGCAAAAGACCTCTTCCAAGTGTTGAAGAGCAAAGATGTCTCTTTGAAGACTAAGGTGCACCTAACCCAAGCCATGGTATTTTCAATTGCCTCATATGCTTGTGAGAGCAGGACAATGAATAAGGAAGACCAAAGTAGAGTTGATGTTTTTGAGTTGTGGTGTTGTCAAAGAAGACTGAATGTACCATAGACTTCCAAAAGAACTAACAAATCTGTCCTGGAAGAAGTACAGCCAGAATGCTCCTTGGAAGCGAAAATGGCCAGACTTCATCTCACTTACTTTGGTCATGTTGTCAGAAGGGACCCTTCTCTGGAGAAGGATATCATGCTTGGTAAGGTGGAGGATCAACCAAAAAAGGGGAAGGCCCTCAATGATATGAATTGATACAGTGGCTGCAATCACGGGCTCAGATATAGCAAGGTTTGTGAGGCTGGCACAGGACCAGGCAGTGTTTCATTCTGTGGTAGATAGGGTCACTATCAGTCGGAGCCAACTCAACAGCACCTAACAACAACAACAACAATGATGCAACCATTTGCCATACTCAGGCAATTTATCTGAGATGGACTTGTAAGTCTCCCAAGGAGTGCAGTTTATTATGGACTAAGATGACTACTGAGACCAATAGTCATCCATCTTTCTTGGCTCCAGCTAAAATCTGCAGTGAAATATATCCACAGATTTTTCTTCCAGACAAGAAGGTAAAAGTATTCATTCTTTTTTTTTTTTAATTGTGATTTGGGTGAAAGTTTACGGAGAAAATACATTTTCCATACAGCAGTTCACACACACTTTGTCTCATGACATTGACTACAATTTACCCCAATGCAACAGCTCCCCTCCCACTTCTTCCTGATAGTTACCTCTTCCCTGTGTCCATCCCTCCATGCAATCTTGCCTCCTGAGCTGTCTCCCTGTGCATAAACAGCCTTAAAAGTAATCACTCTTAATCATTATAAATTTTCCTTCCTACCCTACAAGGCATTGGATTCAGGGAAAATATATATTGTATAAAGTTCCTTATCTGCTTAGTTGTCTCACAGTAAGTTTCCTGATTGGCCAATCTATCCAATTGCATGTGTCCATTTGCAATTAATACTAAGTCTGTGCCAGAAAAAATCTTGTTCTCCAATACTGAAGAGTACAGTCAAACTTGCCAAACCATGCATTCTTGTTTTCTTATTTGATAAATGTAGCCATAACAAGCATTGCACATTTTTCTGTCATCTCACTGTCACAGCAGCTGTGGCTCAAAGACTTTCTTGGCCACGTCTCCATAGCTTTGTTTCAGCTGCATAGAAGTTGGTGACTGATTTGCTTGGCGCCAATGTGCTGATTTATGGTTGTGATTCAGTTGACCACAGCTTTTAATCTTCTGCCTATTTATTTTCTTGCCCTTAAATGAATTTAGTGATATTAAAATTCCTGTTATATTATGAGAAAATAGAATGCTTATTCTTCAACTAGTGGTAAAATATCAGAAAGTGGTTGTGTCTAAACCCACTGCCATCAAATCGATCCCTGCTCATAGTGACCCTATAGGACACAGTTGATCTGTCCAGAGGGTTTCCAAGTCTGTAAATCTTTATGGAAGCAGACTGCCTCATTGCTCTGCCATAGAATAGCTGGTGGGTTCAAACCAGTGACACTTTGGTTAGCAGTTGAATTCTTTAACCACTGAGCCATGAGAGCTCCTTGTGGTTGCCTCTAGAATGAAGGATTTGACTGGAAAGTGGCAAAGGAAATGTTCTGCATACTGTTTTGTTACATGAGAGTATAAAATTCTCAAAACTCTTTGAACTAAAAATGTGAATTCTATGCATTCCGTTGTAGGAAAAATTATATCTCAAAAATAAAAAAAAAAGTGAGCCAAAATAAAATAAAACATATACTAAGAAAAGTAATTTATCTGGCTTTATGAAGTTGCAGTAATTTATTGGTACTTTTATAATTGTTACAAACAGCTATAATAATTGTGATCTACTGTGAATGCAGCCTACTCCAAATTCCTCTTACTTCTGGGAGCTGGGATCGACAGAGACTAGCTGGACTTTAATCTTCTCTGAGAGGCTAAATAAACACACACACATACACACAAAAAATTAAAGAAAATGGAATACCATACAGCTGGGAGAATGAAGGTCTACAGCTATACACATAACAACATGAATAAATCTCACAAAGGTAAGATTTTGTGAAAAAATTCAGAGACAAAGAGTTAAATGATGCCCTCTCCAAAGGAGAAAAGCAGAGAAATATAATCTGTGCCTTTAGGTGTCAGGATAGTAGTTACTTGAGTGACAGGGAGCAGGAATAAGAGTGGTCTGGCATTTTGGTAAATGGTCTGTTCTTCCACATGGATGCTGGTTACCTGGGCTTTCCCAATTTGTGAAATTTTATGTATCTTTATATTTATGGACCCATCTGTCTGTTTGTCATACTGTGGTGGCTTCCATGTTGCTGGAAGCTATGCCACCAATGACCAAATACAGGTATGATCACTTATGGTGGGCAGGCTTCGATGGAGCTTCTAGACTTAGACAAATTAGGAAGAAAATTCTGAAAATTAGACAGTGAAAACTTTATGAATCACAAAAGAGCATTGTTATACTTACTTGCTTTGGACATATCATAAGGAAAGACCAGTCACTAAAGGGGACATCTTGTTTGGCATGGAGGGCCAACAAGAGTAAGGGAGACCCTCAGTGAGATGGATTGGCACAATGCCCACAACAATGGACTCCAACATGCCAGCGATTGTGAGCATGACTCACGGACTAGCAGCATTTTGTGCTGCTGTACGTAAAGTTGTCATGAATCAGAGTCAACTCAACAGCAACTAACAATAGCAACAAATTTATGGAGGTGTCTATGTATCTAATTATAATTTTATTTTGGTTCATTTTTATTGAAACATATTACTTACAATAAAATGGACAGATCCTATGTGTTCCTTTCAGTGAGTTTTGAGAATTTCATACATTCGTGTAACTACCACTGAAAACAATATATACATTTCCATAACCCTAGAAAGTCCCTTTGTGCCCCTTTCCAGCCAAAACTTCCTTCCCAGAGGAAACCACCTTTTTGCTTCTATCACCATTTTTTAATTTTCTCTGCTCTTGAATTTCATATAAATAGATTACAGTATT